GCTGGCTCCGCCGCACGTGCTTTTATAGCTTCCTGGTCATGACGTCACCCGCCCGTGACGTCCCGCTCAGCTATTGGACTGATTTCACATTTTATTCAGAGCGTGGTCACAGAAGGCGTTCCCCTAGCGTTTCCGACGCAGCGTCTCGTTCCCTCGAGGAACTAGGGTTACATACGTAACCTGAGACGTTTTCTTGTGCTCATCAAGGTTGTGTTTATTTGATCAAAAATACAGTTAAAAAAAGTGATATGAACTGGAAACACATGGTCCTGACTGCAGATGTAGACCTATATAATTGCACCTTCGTGAACTGCCACGGTGTGGAAGCAGAGTCTTCTGCTAATAACTCCATTCCTCCCCGCAGGCCTTCGGCAGCCAATCACGAGAACAAAGTGTACATTTTCATTTACGCATCAAATCTCTCTCACACACATACAGACAGTGTGGAGATGGGGCAGAGCGCCACAGACAGAGAATGTCAAGAATGCCATAGGAATGTGGGCACTGCCCTCAACGTCTCTCTCTCACACACACACACACACACACACATAGACATGCTCCCACATCACACACACACAGACATAGACAGAGTTTGTGATTTTAACATGACTAGTACGGCTGGATATGTACTGGCAGGCCTGCTGTATGTGGAGACTGGTGGTGGGGGGGACAAGAACAACATGCAAAAGACACAGAGAATGAAGATAGATTGAAAGAGCAGCTGGAAGGACAGGACTCAGGAGTAGAGAAGATAGTGAAGATGAAGGGAACGAGGGACAGGGGGAGGAACCCGCTGAATAACACCTGCTTCTCAGCTGTGTCAACTGAAGGATTCCCACAGAAGACAGACAGATATTTACACTGCTATTGGCACACATGTGATGCTCTATGAGTCATTCTCATCTATGCAGAACCAACTCAACAGTCAGAGTGAAAACAAAATATACAAAAAACAATTCTAAAGTCAAAATATATATATTGCTAATATATTATTGGAATATTTTAAAATTTACATACATATATTTTCAATGTATTTAGTTTTAAAATATATATTTAAAATAAATATGTTAAAATATAAATATATTCATATTGTTCAAAATGTTTAAATACATTTTTATAAAACATTTATCATTTTTATAACCATTTATAAAGCTTTTACTCAAAAGTAATTGCAAGATTTAATAAAAAGTATTTATTTTCTTGCCCAAATATACTGTATTATAAATTTTAAAGTATACATATTTCCAACATATGTTATATATTTGAAATATATTTTGGCCAGAAAAAAAAAACAAATTATATACTAAAAATAAAATAAAAAATAAAACAAACAAACAGGCCAAAATATTATTTGTTTTATATTTTAAATTATATAAAATAATATAACTTAATATTTAATCGTTACATTATATAATCATGTTACATTATTTATTTATTCATTCATTTATTTATAATTATTTATTTAGCCAGTTTTAAACAAATATAAAATATATTTGTTAAATATATTAAAGATATGAATTAAATGGATTTAAATATGCATGTTGAAAATATAAAATAAATAAATTGGAAGTATAAACAAACAAACAAACAAACAATCACATAAATAGTATTTACTTTACATTTTCATATTAACAAATATAATATCATTTCATGTTACATTATATAATGCAATAAATATTATTTATTTATTTAGCCAGTTTTAAACAAATATAAAATATATTTGTTAAAGATATTAATTAAATGGATTTAAATATACATGTTGAAAATATAAAATACATAAATTGGAAGTATAAAAAACAAAATAAATAAATAGTATTTACTTTACATTTTAATATTAATAAATATATCATTAAATAAATATAATTTAGTGTATTTATTTATTTATGGGAAACCCCAACCCTCTGAAGATAACTTCTAACACAGATAAAAGTTTAAAATGCGATCGGTAAGAACAATCTGCATGCATCTAGAAGTATTTCTTTCAAGCAGTTCTCTATACGTCCGAAGGGGGGCAGCAGCAGTGCTCCTGAGTCAAACTTTCTTATTATAAGTGAAAACTACGGTGGCCGAGAAGTGCAGAGCAAATCACAATTCTGAAAACAAAATAACAAATTACAAACGCAAATGCAAGTCTAAAAAACAAAATAACAATTCAGAAAGCACAACAACAATTCAGAAAACATTATAACAAGTCAGAAAACACAAAATACTGAAGTGCAGATAATTGGCACTATTTGCAACAAGTAGTATACTTGATAGTAGAAATCCTGCTATTTTAACAGTGTAAATAGGTATTTGCACTTAGTGTAAATAGCATATTGCTAAAAATACTGCTATTTTCACTTAGTGTAAATAGAATCCATTGCTAATACGAGATTTGAAAAGGGAGGAAAAAAAAGTTCGGCAAAAGGTGGGATCGAACCCGTGTCGATCGCGTCAAAAAGCAAAGGACACGTGCTTATCCATCTGCAACACTGAAGCTGATAATTTACATACACTTTTAACTAAATGTAAATAGACACCCCGTATTTTTTATTCCAGAGTAAGGGCAATTCATACAATACATTTAAACTGAGCTACTTTAATACCATCTCCGAACTTTCTACCACGACTCTGCTGTTCTTCGGCTGGTTCTTCCCTGTATACATTGATTGACAGATGTCTCGTCCAGTCAGCGGTGAGAAATCCCAAACCAATGGCGCTGTCTCAAACTATACCTACCTCTTCCGGTTTGTCTGATTTGTCGTTGTGTTTTCTGACTTATTTTTCAGAATTGTGATTTGCTCTGCACTTCTCGGCCACCGTAGAAAACAGATGAGGCACGTGGCAAATAGCCACATGTAATGCATTTAAATCATATTTTGTTCTCAAAAATGTTTTAGGGCTAAATGACAATCATGCAGTTGTAGTTTAGCCCAAACCTCCAATTTATATGAGCAGTGAAATCTTACATAAGAATCAGCCTCTAACCAATCCCATTCATTTTCATTTAGGATCAAAGCATACATAGTTATGTAGAAATGCCTTGATGGTAAATTGCATATGAGATAATTTAATATTGTAAATAGATACACTATCCTGATCTTATTACAGATTAAGCGGTGTGGATTCTCTAATCCTGTACTGACAGGCGTCTAAATGGTTGGATGCATTTGTGAATTGTAGCTGTTTTGATTTGCTCAGCTATTGTAAATCAGAATAACACATACCTGGTGTTCCCAGAATCATCCCTTTTATCTCACATCTGCTGTTATTTTCAGAAAATAGCTGAACATCTTTCTGAACATTGTTACATGGTTAAATACATTCTCTTTGAACACTAAATCTACATAATGTGATGGAAAACAATGGGAAAGAACACATTAAGAGCTTAAGTGTCTATGTGCAACCTCATCTGCAGGTGGAGTCCAGAGGAAAACACCACAGACTGGCAAATGCACAGGAGGTGCATAAGGGTTTGACCTTGAGAGGGTTCAGCGTGTGTGAGAGAGTGTGTGTCCGCAGGGTTGTGTACGCGTGTGTCCTCCCAACATCTGTCAGACGCATTATATTTTATTATCTAGGCTTTCACAACAACTGCTGTACCTGCATAAAACACAACACTCCTACATACACGGTTTATTTTTTACTTTATTAAAAATGCATTCTTTTTTAGAAAACATGAAAGCTGTTTTACCTCAAATGTTTCATTTTACATTTAGACCAAATAGTACATTGGTTTCTGATTATGTAAACAGCATTATTATTATTATTATTATTATTATTAATAATAATAATAATAA